TTTAAAATTACTTTCATTTGTCTAATTATCTTTGAGCCACTGAAAATAGGAGACTATGAATAAAAAGGGTTGTGATTCAATGTGAAGTGATGCAATGTTTTTGTTAAACTTCTCGAATTAAAGTTGAAAGTCTGCACTTTGCACATCACATCTCGATTGCTTGATTTAAAATCCCTTGTGGTGATGTACAGGGTTAAAAAAGTGTAAATGTCTAGCAACTTATGAGGATACTGTAAATGTGAGACTTATGCTGTAGTAATTTTATTTTCAAACTGTATTTTCTGGTTTTACATTACTTTTCAAGGATGAGAAGTTGTTGATTTGGAAAATGCACTTGAAGTTAACTTCCCCACCTCCAATAGATAACAGCACACAGCTGCTTCCCTTAGCTTTTCAATGGGAAGCATCCACCTCCCACACAATGAAGGAGACAGTATGCAGCGGGGCTAGCCTCCACTCACTGCTGTTTGCTACATTATTTGATCAAAAATTGTAGAGAAAGAAGAAAACAATACATGAGAAAACAATCGTTTTTTTCCTTTGGAAAAGTAAACAACTCTTATGTCAACTTTCATGAACACTTCTGTCAGTGATATCATGGCTATGTTTTTAAAAAAATATATTTTTTTCTGGCTTTAAAGTGATTAGAACATCAAACTGCTCAAAAAAATTAAAGTAACACATTGAAAACACATCAAATCTCAATGGAAAAAATACCATACTGGATATCTAGTATGGTATGAACTGGGTAATGTGTTAGAAAAGGATGGGCAGGCTTGCTAAAATTTCTTTGCAGCAGCTCACAATAATATTCAGTATTTTGTACGGCCCTCACGCTTGTCTGACAACATTAAGACATACTTCTAATGAGACGATGGATGATGTCCTGGGGCATCTCCTCTTAGACCTTGACTGGGGCATCACTCTGATCAGAAACCTGGCGGCTTAAGTTGAACCGTCCGTGTGTCCCTCTGTAGATATGCCTTCCCTGACCATCACCAACCCACCACCAAACCAGACTTGCTGAATGATATTACAAGCAGCATAGCATTCTCCACAGCTTCTCCGCACCCTTTCATGTCTGCCACATTGTGCCAGATGTGGACCTGTCAATTCTACAATTCTGAAATTCTATGGCAAAAGGCATCTGGCCTCTACAGATCTGGGCATTGAGCACAGGGCTCACAAGAAGACGCTGGGCTCTCAGGCCACCCCCATGAAGCCTGTTTCTGATTGTTTGGTCAGAGACAACAGCGGCCTTCTGGAGGTCATTTTGTAAGGCTCTGGCAGTGCTCAACCTGTTCCTCCTTACACAAAGGGGCATATACAGGTCCTTCTGATGGGTTAAGGGCCTTCTACAACCTTTTTCCAGCTCCTTAATGTTCTTGACACTGTGCTAGGAGATACAGCAAAGCTTGTCCCATTTGAATGGATTGATGTACCCTCTGCTACGTAACCAACCAGATCAATATCTCAGATCTTTAACTGACGTTAATAATATAGTAAATATAAATAGTGTATATCAAATCAGAGGATCTTCTTAAAACAGGTTACAGTGCACTATGAGTTGGTCTTTATGCCATGGAGCTACAATAGTTTTCCATGTTACAGATGGTCCTGTGCAAAGAAGGTTTATATAATGTGTTCTGTATCTGGATATCTGGATATCTGGATATCTGATTTTTGCGTTCTTTTCTCTTGTAACTGAGGTTGTCCCACTGGTAGATTTTGGGAAGTTATTCTTAAAACAGGAGCATATGGTGGGGGATGTTGTTGGCTGGCATGGGCTTATTTAGAGAAGCTAACTCTTTGTCAAGGACTATAATTCCCAAAGCATCAGCTCCTTTTTTCCCTCTAATACATCACTGGCAAAACCTTAAATTCCACTTTAATTTTTTCTCAATATGAATGCATATGCATATTCAACGGGATCTGTTTAGAGATAGTTAGACACAGAAATTGTGTGATATTCTAGGGGGATATTTGTACTTGACACAATTGCATACCAAATAATAATCTTGCCAAACAACCAGGTCCTGATTATTCATTTTATGAGGTCAAACGAGGTGTAGTGAGATGGCTGTTTATGTTTAGAATATAAAATTGTAAAGCCTGGAGTTGTTTTTTTCGACTCTTTGTCAGTACAGAGAGCCTCTAAACAAGCTTCGTCCTTATTCCACTTTGCATTATTTTTGTGTGGCAAAATGAATGTGAGAGCCTGTATATGGGTGGATTTCAGAACAAATGACTTTGCTCTGTGCCCTTGTGTTTGTCTTCCAGCTGATTAACCAGAAGATCAGAATGTGCATGCAGCTGTACTACTGCAGGTCATTTGTTTCCGTGCTGGAGTACCTCCTCGCCATTGGCAATTACCTCAATGAGAATGCCGGGAAGGAAAAGGCCAAGGGATTCCGCCTCTCCTCCTTAACTAAAGTACGAGTCCACCACTGTTGCCTGACCTTTGATTGAGTTGCAGCACAGAGCTAATAAGACTACTCATTGACATACACAGCAGGGCTTCTGTGCATCTTTCAGTTTTTCTCTCAGTCGCTCTGGATTACTCAGGTCTTTGAACATATTCACTCTAACAGTTGTGTGACTGTGTCGATGAATGGCTTCGCAGGAGGAATGAAACTTTGCACAAAATATCGCCTTTAGTGGCTCAGTGTCTTAGAAATGAAAAGAAGTGGAGCAGGATGAAAAGGCTTGAAAAAAATGTAGAGACTCAAATGAGAATATCAAAACTACAATTTACTGGATATCACATGTATCTGGTAAATAGATGGCAGGAGCTGGTTAGCTCAGGCCTCAGTCACACAGGCCTAAACTGTCACTGGCCGGTGACAATCCGGTAACCGCTGATCATTGGGGGAAACTGTGTACAGTATTTCTTGACTATTTGGTAGGTGGTTGCTGAAGATTGTTGGGAGTTCCTAGTGTGAAATTGATTGCAAAGAAGTGTATGGCACTGCATCAAAATTCAATTCAATTCACTTCATTTTTATTTATATAGCGCCAAATCACAACAACAGTCACAACGACAACAAGGCGCTTTATATTGTCAGGTAGACCCTACAATAATACATACAGAGAAAAAAACCCCCCAACAATCACATGACCCCCTATGAGCAAGCACTTTGGCGACAGTGGGAAGGAAAAACTCCCTTTTAACAGGAAGAAACCTTCAGCAGAACCAGGCTCAGGGAGGGGCGGCCATCTGCTGCGACCAGTGAGGGTGAGAGAAAGAAGACAGGATGAAGGACATGCTGTAGAAGAGAGCCAGAGATTAATATCAAGTGTGATTCAGCAGAGAGGTCTATTTACACATGAAAAATATATCAAAAATATCCTAATGAACCGTTTAGTCACTAGGAGATTGCTGTGGACCCCAGCAGTGGGCACTGAAGGTGATGGCTTGTATGCAAACACTCTCCAACTATTTGCCAACCAGCTGGGGAATACTTTTCCCCAGCAACTAAAAATTGCCAGGGGGGTTGCTGACCAGTGTCTAGACCTGCGTGACCGAGGCCTTATCAAATGGTAGAAACAGCCTTACTAGCTTTGCCCAAACCTGCCTCCAAAATGTAATTATTTACTTGATGGTTAGAAATATGATTCATCATGTCAGACTAGTGTACCAGCTGTCGGCTGGTAGTGGACAGTATATAAAAGGCAAATGGTAAGTATGTTCTGTTTTAAGCCTGTTTATCACTTTTCATTTTTAGCATCCCACTTCAATGGGATCACAGTGAATACATTTGCAAACCATGCTTTTGAGCACTAGCATAGGCTAATCACCTGACACTATCTTCAAAAAGAGTTACATTTGGTTCATAAAAACTAAAGTGACAACAACCAAAATGCAGCACTCAAGGCTTTAAAGCAATACTTTCCAAGCCAGCATGTGCCATGTTGGTTCCTGTATCCTATATGCACTGTCTGTGGCTTTAAACTATAAACAGACGGATTAGCGAAAGGCATCAATCTTTTCATCTAACACGGGAAAGACAGCAAATAAGTTTGTTTTCCAAAATGATTCCTCTAAGGCTGATTAAACTGATGAATGCACAGCTTTTGTCTAGGGTTTGCGACACTGTCTTTGTGTTTTTTTAAATTTAGTTTGAATCACTCTTTTGTGTTTACGTCTCTCTGCTGGGAATGTTTAAGGGGCAATGCTCTTGGCACAGAAGTAAAACGCCCTCTGCTCCATTTAATGAAGCCGAGGCCTTGTGTTGCCTCAGAGGTGTTTCCAGGTCTAATTGAGAAAAGTAAACTGTTGCTGTTTCAGACAGACTCTCTTCAAATTAATGGCTGACTGCCTCCAAGAAAAATGCATCGAGGTTATCTCAGATCTTTTTTTGGTTCTTTTTTCTTTTACTTGTGAGCATCAATACTTTGTGCATGTCTTGTATACGCAGTCCTCAAAGGCTGGCCTTGGCCTTAAATTGGTAAACAACATAACCTAAATAGAAAAAAAAATCATTGGGAGCTGCTTTCACAGGATAAGAGAGGTCGTTCTTGAATTTCAATTATGCGGCACCATCAAATGTAGCGTAGCTTAAATCCGAGAGTCATCATTACCATTTCATACCAACAGCACAATTTCAAAGTAGTCACAGATAGCTAGTAAGCCTCATTCATACTACTACTATTAAACTCCATTCAAAATAATTCCCATAAACAGAAGTGACAACCTGTTAGAACAAGTATTTCATAACAGAGTTTGAAATGGCATCGTTACACCAGGGTAAAAGATTTTATATAATTAATTCAGGCATCTGAGTACATATGTTCTATATTAAAAATCCCTATATCCTAGAGAATGCACAACTTTGACTTACAATGGAGATGTGCCTGGAAAAAAAAAAGTGAAGCTACAGTTTGGCAAAGACCTGCAATCGGATGAATAAACACAAACAGGAATAAAGGAATAATATTTTGTGAAAATATGGACACCACACGGATATTTTAGCCACACAATATTTGGGGGGGAGCAAGACTGATATCGTGAAGTGAAAATAAGAAATAAGGTTGACAGGCAGAATTAAACTTTGTAGTTGTAGTTTTCTCTTTACAGATACACAGCCTGCCACTGTAACCACAAAGTAGCCAACTTTAACCAGCTGTGTTCCAAATTTTATTAGGGCTTGCAATATTAATTTGAATGTTGGTGCTATAAATAGCTCTGCTTGATTGTCACATGCAAGAAATGCTGCTCTGGTGTTGCTGATGTGTTACTGTTGCTCCAATCTTATAAAGATGTTAGTCGTATTTCCAAGACCTGCAAACTTATTTCCTTCCTTCATTTTCACATTTGCTGTAAATCCTTTGTTTACTTTACAACATTCTAAAAATGGGTGTTTTTATATCCAATGGATGACGTAGTGTCTACATATATCCATGGTTAAAGTGTAAAATAGGCTTCTCTGTATGCTTGCTATTATTGAATTTGCACGGCTTTATAAATCAGACAGAAATATTGTAATATACATGTGTCTGCCTTTGTGCTATGTTTTAACCCTGAATCAACACAGTGTTTTATGCATCTGGCCCTGGGCCTTTTGGAATAATGTGATCTGGACAGACAAATAAAAGATAGGATTGCAGACATGCTTTGGGCAGAATAAACACAGGTTTTCACAGAAATATCACACCAAGTGTGAGTGATGGTGGTGGAAACACTACGTACTGGGGTTATTTCACTGTGTCCGTGACTGGGCAGCTTGCAGTTATTGATACAACTCTGCATCATATCAAAGGATAATCTGAGGCCATCTGTCCAAGAGTCAAAGTGGAGCTTTTAACAAGAATTTAAGAGATCAAAAACACACTAATAAATCCACCTAGGAATGGTTCAAAAAGAAGAAACTGAGGGTTGTGTAATTGCTTAGAAAAAAAAGCCCAGATCTGAAATCCACTGAAAAGTTGTGGGGGAATTTGAAACACCCAGTACATGCAAGATAAAACATCTCAAACATCATGCAACAGAATAAAGTCAGCATGGAGGAGTCGTCAGAAATTTCAGAATTAGATAACAAAGGCTGGTGAACAAACCTGCAAATTGCTCACAAGAAGTTATTTCTGTTAATGCTCTCCTTCTGAGACCAAAGGGGCACCTACTTTTCCACAGAAGAATATTACATGTATTGACATTTTTGTTGAACAAATGGCTGAAAAAGCTTTTTATTTATTTATTTTTGTTCCTTGCAGTCGTGTATTATTATAACCTTGAAACAGTTTCAGATAAAAGTGGATCAAATGTATGTATAGAGACATGTTAAAACAGCCAGAAGTGTCCTTGGGAAATGACTGTAAATTCACACACACACACACAAACCTCCCATGGGTGTAAACACACTTTATGCATTATCCTCCAATTCTTCATTGGACCTAGAGTAACAAAGCTGCGTGTTTGCATCAGCACACACAGGCATGGATATAAAGAACATACGTACATGTTGTCCTTTATGTTGGAATCAGTATGTTGCATGGCAAGGGGACACAGCTCTGTTCTTCCCTTTCTCAATTTGTGTTTTCTCCTTCCCTAGCTCGTCCAGCTCCGTGGGACAGACAAGAAGTTCACCTTGCTTCATGCCCTTGTGGAGCAGATTATGTTGCATGAACCGTGCTTGGCCACTTTTCCCCAGGAGTTGGCAGAATTTGAAACTGTCCCTGGAGGTATTTGCTAGACAAGATTTGATCAAACCTGAAAGAAATCTGCGTGGCACTTTTTAGTTGAGGTCTGTTAAATGAAACGTGTATTTTCTCTGTGTTTCGCTGCCCCCTTTCTTGGATAGCTTCCATCAAAGGCTTGACCGCAGAAGTAGATGGTGAGTAGATCACATTTTACTACTGTGTCACATTTTACTACTGTGTCCAAAGACTGTTAAATTTGCTGAGATTGCTGTAATACTGACCCTCCTTTTTTGTGCCAACAAAGTTATTTGTGAGGAAGTGTGATCGTAACATTTACTCCATCTTCTGTGATTGTAGCTTCAGTATACTCTGTTGAAACGCCATGATCTCATTGTCTAGGGAGTGTAAGGTCTCAATCCAATATATTGTCTATATGATGACTTACAAAAACTTGCCACAAGCCACAAATACTGCACTCCACGAGATCACACAGGAGACAGCACCTGATTTAAAGCAGCTATTTACTTCAGTGCTCAAATATCATGGACGGTAACCAAGACGTGTGTGTGTGTGTGTGTGTGTGTGTTTCTTTTCTTCAGTCCTGAAGAATGAACTAAAGAAAATCACTCAGTATAGAAAAATGTCCAAGAAGAAAAATATAGCAGCTCAGAATCCAAACTTCTTCAAAGACCTGAAGGTAAAGTAGAAAACATTTTGCATACATAAAGATTAAATAATCATTTAAAATATTGCTGTCAGTCATTTAAAATTTTAGGCCACATATCGTCCAAACAAAACAAAACAAAATCAGCTTTCTGTTATTGTTAAGAAGCAGAGTTCAATTCTGCAAAGAAAACAAAGTTTAGCTCGACTCTACTCAATTTTGCTGGCTTATTATCTTACGTTTTGTGGTTTTGCAGGGATGGATATTGCTTTTAGCAGTAAGAAATCTGTGAATCAGATGTAAGGCTCGGGTGAAATTGATCATTTTGGACGACATGATCTATTGTTGACTTGCAATCCAAGGCTATCTGCTGCACAATATGGTCAAAAGTAAAAATGATAATGCGCCTCCTGTCAGTTTTGTTTCTTAATCTTGCAAAGCCATCCTGTAGCCCAGCTCGGATTCTTTCATGGGCTGGTTCCAGCCTACAGGTCATGTGTGTAAATGCCTCGCATGTCCCATTATCATGGCAAACTGCTTATACATGAAATTTCAGACATAAATTGTTCTTGTCCTTCAAAATTTAGTAAACATTTAGAAAATATTTAGTAAGCCGACTGCAAACTGTTTGCAGTAACACAAACTTTGGCAACATCATAATTATTCAGCTTACCGGGGTATTTACCAAGGCTAAGGACGTAACTAAAACCACCCAATGAGGATTTTTCATATCAGGCAAACAATGCAGCTCAAAAGAAAGTCTTTTTACTTATTTAGCTTTGCTGCTGAGGTTGGAGCAGTGATGGAAGAGAAGACGCCTGCACAAATGTGTGTGTTCATCCTACAAGAAGAAGGCTTTATGTGAGAAAATAATTCATTTGCATAATGTCATCAGAATGGGTTGAGAAAAGTGTGGGAGATGTTTAGGAAATCTTTTCAACAGTTCTGACTGAATCATTTCTGCAAATGGATAAAAAAAATATCTAAGTATTGCTGGGTGCTTCAATCATGTCGCAGTGGACTTGACCTTCTGTCAAACATTATAAGTTAGAAAAATACACAGAAAGACCCTGACGAAAACCGAGTTGTAAACTTTTGCAAACAATAACATGTTGTTAAATTTCTGTTCACTGCTCTGCTAAAGCAATGTTATTATGAATCTTTTCATTTCAATTTTCTTCCTCAGTCAATGTTTCTGGTAAAAATTACTGTTTTTTTCCTCAGGTTAAATTTATCATTAAATTAAATCAGGTAGTAACATTGTATATACATTTTAACTCCACCGTTTCCTTACAAATGTGGTTCTTCAGAAAATAAACAAAATTAAAAGATTGACCATATTTAAAAGCATTTTTAAAATCAATATAATTATTGCAATTGAAGTTATAAAGACTACGAAGACAGCAGTTTCAACTCCAGGTTGGAAACTCAAATGTGGATGGAGTGACTAGATCCTCACAAAGGAAAGCTGTTTTTCACATGAACAAATGAAACCAGTCCTTTCTCACATGTAGACCACAGCAGGAGACAGTTTGCACCAGCCATGTTCTCCCTGCTATAAATGCTCTGTTTGTTTAGAAGAGGGTGCTGCCTGAGTAAAGCGCACAAGAGGCAGTACACGGGACACTCATTCACCAGCTCTGAATCCACTTAACTAATATCTGTGCTGTTCTCACATCAGCACATGCAGAAATCACACAGGCTTTGAAGCAGAGAACTGGCAGCTTAAAGCCCCATCTGTCCATGTGGGATATTTGCACTGACACGTGCACCACATTTGGCCAGTGTCTAAAGGTTCAGGGCTGTAGTGCATTTGTAGAAATGGCTTAAATATGTTTGTGTGGGACAATACAGGACACATCACTAATGCAGAGATGCAGTAAAATAAAGACCATTATGCAGTTTACAATTTTGGCCTTTAGGACTTGAAGAACATGTTTTTATTTGAATGTCACTTTCTCAGCAAACCTGGATAGTCCTCTTAAATTCATCTGTCTCATTCTTTTTCTGTTCCACTAACTGTCAAAAACTGTTGACAGTTACTAGACAGAACCGCAGCTATTTCAGCTCCGGTTCTGTCTAATCTAATCTTTGAGTTTAAGAGGGGATGGATCCATATACGTGCACATCTCATTTTGAGCCACCTGGATTTTGACCTGTAAGTCACATTCTTCCGCCATGCAAAAGTTATAAACAACTCTGGCAAAAAAAGGAAAACATATCTCTGTAAATTGCCTTCTGCACTTCCCAAAGTATTTTCCCAGATTTTATTTTGCTGCATTCCTTATTTGCAGTAGTTCCCATCACATTCCACTGAAATCTGTATAACATGTTACCTTATTGAGACTTAATGTTGACAGCGAAAGGATGTGGCAGGTTAAGCTGCACTTGACCCATAATAACAGCATACTTTCTTCACAGCCAGTGAATAGAAAACAGACTTTTGTATCTTGCCATGTGCTGGAGTGCAGTCGCACATAAAGTGGGACACCTGGACACCCTAAATGTGTCTCTTTAAAGCCAGCCTCTTATGCTTTTTCTAATGCTCTGTCATTCATGCACATATATATGCGCTGTTACAATGGTAGAGCCAGTTTTTCTGTTCTCGACTTGGCTGTGACTACAGAAGTCTCACTCGTCTGCTCTTCAAATTAAGGGGCTACACTGAGGATTATCATGACATAAAGATTAATTTTTTAACTCTGACTGTAGTGAGTTCCATGAATAAAGACAAGAAAATCCACCTTTAATGAATCAACTCATCTTTTTTTATATATTATGTACCTATATGCCATTGATTAACAGTACAATTATCCTTTAAAAAAAATCCAGGTAGCAGATCTTTAGTTTCCTCCTTTTATAAGCAGAATATTTCTAATTAAATGGTTAGCGTGAAGACTGACAAACTTACCAGGAGGTTCTTGTGCTTTTCCTTATATCCTAGATGGCGATTGAGAAATATAACGCAGATCTTTCGGCCCTGACGAAGACATGCGAGGAGATGAAGAAACTCTACTCTGACATACTGGTAATCCTTGAATTATTATTTCAATATCTCAGCGTCAAAGACAGATGGTTGATTATAATAAAGGTCAATCAAATGGACCAATATGGCAAGGCCATTATGATCCACTTGGTAAAATAAATCCGCTTGGCATCTTTCTTGGCCTTAAGACAACAATTCTGATGGCTAAAGATCCAAACGGGACACAAAAAAAAAAGAAAAAAGACAGATGGTCCCCTGTCCCAGTAATGTCTAGATGGCCCTCTTCAGTTATTTGTCATCTCATCTTCCCCATGCTACACTGGGAGAGTACATTATTTCAAGAATCCACAAGGTTACTTTGTTTGCACCGCGTGTCCTTGAGGGCTTCCACAAGCGCATATAATGTATGTGATTTATACCTTATACCAATGATCTTAACGTCGTTTAAAACCCACCACAGCTGATTTGCTGTTTTGGAGTGTTATACCTCCTTCATTGGATAATTTTAGGAGGATTAGTGAACATTGGTTTCCTGCAGGCAGAAAGTGTGAAAGACAAGTTCATCCCGACCCTTAATGTGCAATGTCACGTTGATTTAGGATGCTCTACAAATGATGAAAAATGACGAGATGTTGGAGCACCCCTGGTGGGATTCTCATGTAGTTTTTTTTTTGAGTCATTTGTTAGACCTTAAGGGGCGTACCATAAATTAAACATAGTTTTTGAGCTTCATACTGCTTTGTGACTCTTTGTATTTTGATGACATCTCATTTATACGTATATCTGAATGTACAATACATCCATTCGTACGTGAACCTTTTATGATTTAAGGGCTCTTTTGTGTGGACTGGACTCTGGAAACGGTGATGTTCTTTAATGAGAAATGCACCTGCCTTAAAAGCTCTGGTCGCATGGTGAGATCGACCATAAAGCGAACACCTCTGTCACACATATCATCAGATTTAGTGGAAGCACTGGTCCCTGTGTATTCTTTCATCACATTGTCCATAAAAGAGAACCTTTTCTTTGCTTACTAGCCTGGTTAAATTAGGTTTTCAGAGCTCAATCCCACTTTTGACATCTTAACAGGGGCTATGTCTTTTTTTAAGGAGTCACCCACCAAAAACAATCAATACAAAAGCAGTGCCTATTTTCTCACCTTTCTCATATCTCTATGGACAATCCATCATCATAGAGTCCACTTACCCTTCCTGCTGTATTTGAGAGCTGAGATATGACAGCATGAGCTGTGAGCTTTAGGCCTGGTAGGAAATTTTGTTATACTAGAGAAACAATTAGATTCCTGTGCACTCAAAATATTTGTTCACAAGTAAACAAAGGTGCCATTCAGCATTTCTCTAAATGCTTTAAAAGAATCATCTGCATCGATTCCTTTGTGTTTGGTGTAGATTTTATAAGAAATGGAAACAAGGGATCATTTAGTGTGTTTTACATGTAATTTCTTTTAAAAGCAAAGGAGTGGTTTAACATGTTGCTGCGTCCTTGCCAGAGCAAGATGAGAAGACTAATACCACGTTCATGTTGTTGTATGGTAAATATGAAGCAACAGACAGCAATTTGTTGATGTAGCTTAGCACAAAGTTTGGAAATAAACAACTCGTCTGGCTGAAGCCGTTGAGTCTGGCTGAAGCCGTTGAGTCTGGCTGATTTTGTCTGGCACAGACTCTTTGAAGCTCCATCCAGGCAGATATTGTTTCTCCTTCATTTTCCTTCTGAGTCCTCACATTTGTCAAACAGCCGTTATGCTGTGATCACTAACACAGTGTCTGAACAGGCTGGACAGTGAAAGCAGCACCTTTGTTGTGCAGGTTTTGAAGATACTTACAGCATAAAACACCGCAATAATCCAGTATTTATAACAATGGATTGCATTTATATAGCACTTTTCTAGGCAACCAAAGCGCTTTACAATTCCACTACTCGTTCACTCTCACATTCACACACTGGTGCAGGCAAACCACAGTTGTAGCCACAGCTGCCCTGGGACAGAATGACAGCCAGTAGGTGGTAGGGTAAAGTGTCTTGCCCAAGGACACAACAACCAGGACAGAGAGAGCTGGGGATCAAACCGGCAACCTTCCGGTTACAGATGAGCTTCTCAACCCCCTGAACCACGGTCACCCCAGTATCACCAGATCAGAGAAAATAAGTAGATGGATCTATACTTTTTCAGTTCTATGTTGTATTGTGTGAACAGTTAGCAGCAGAAGGAGAGGTAGCAAATCATTTGCAGTAGTCTGACTGCAAACAGTGGTCAGTGAGTAGGCAAATATTGAAAGGCACTTGGCTTTGCCAATTGGCTGCTCTCTGTCTTTCATTATATTACATCAGGGTCAACACCTGGCAGGAATTTCTTTTTGTAATTACTGTAATAAGTTGCTGTCAACTTGATTAATATCATGTCATGTCTTATGTATGCTCCGCTCCGTGTGTGTGAGGATGCAAATACTATCACACTTACTATCACACTTATATAAGAGGAAAGCGCAGTGAAGACCCTGCAGGGCAGCAGTTAGCTTAACATTACAGGGAAATCTTTTACAACCTGATACAAATACCACAATTGGCACAAATGCTCTTTTTTGAGTGCCCTTTTAAAAAATCTCAATTGAAAATTCAAGATCGTAGCAATTTCCAGGGCAGCCTTCAACTCTGGTAAGAAAATATAATTTTTTCAATATTTTTTCAATATAATATTCAATATAATATAATATTCAAGTAGACTTGACTTCAAGTCTACTTGTTTCAAATTATGTATGCTCAAAGAGAGGTCACCTTTTGGAGCCTAAAGCTGTGTCCAAATTCAAAGGCTACATCGTTCGGAGGCCTGTTTGTAGGCCAATTGCGTCACAGCGACAATGCAACGAAGGCTGTCCAAATTCGAAGAATCCTCCAAACGCGGCTGACAAATGCTTCCTCCTTTACCCCAGATTTAAAGGATGGGTCGGGTGTATCCTTCGTGGCTCACCATATCACAGAATTCATAGCGCGGCCCAGCCAATTCCAGTTTCTAACAATGGTGGCAGCTACTTAGTTTTAATATTACTCTTATTACTCTTTCTGGGTTACAAAATAAACTTAACATATTTTCAGGCGAGAATGCAGGTGCGTAAACTTCAAATATCTGCTGGGGTTTATCAAGATATCACATATTTGCAAAAGTTCTCCAATGTTTTCGGAGCTGTCTGTTACCCAACAGCTCGATAGCTAGCCAGGGTTCAAGGATCACAAGAGACAGTGAGATCACATAATTTTCAAAAATCCCGCGGTCTTTCGCTACTCAGGTTAAACATGATATATAAGTCACTTAGATAACTTAAAAATGTTGTTGTTTGTTTTTTTCAGTGTTTTATTTGTTTGTAAGAAAAAATTGGTTTGGCTGAGATTACAGCTGAAGAAACGTCAAACAGAAAACTGATTAAACAGAAGTGGGGGGTGGTAGAGAATTTACGCCAATGTCCTGTTATATTTTAGATAGCAAGGAGCAAACGACTGAGTTTATTAAAGTCCACCAAGACAGCTGGTGACACAAACCTGAAGGCTAGAGCCCCCCAATTTCACAGCCTCGCACTTCCAGCCTTCTCGGTCTTCGGAGGACCCGGACGTTGTGGTCTACGTGGGCCGGGTCCTCCGAAGACCGAAAAGGCTGGAAGTACGAGGTGGCCAAGGAATTTGGACACAGCTTAAGATTACTAAGGAGCTGCTATGTGTTCTGCTCAGTTCAGGGTTGTAGTAGTAGTAAGTCAGTTCTTCTTGTCCAAATCTCACCCATGGCTACAAGAAGCTGGCTATTCAAGATGGCCCAACATGTAAAGTAGGTAATTTACCTTTTTGAAGGTCAGTGGCCTAAAATAGTAGTTACCTGAACTGGAATTGATGAAAACACAATTTAAAAATTTAAATTTCTATCTACTTTGTACCAAATTAACAACTCCAGGTGGACAAACATACTGAATTGGGGGGAAGGAATAGCGGAGTAGCACGAATACATTATTTATTGATGATTTTTAAAAATGTTTATTTGTTCCATTTTGTTTGATCAAGTTTGGAAACCAGTGGTTTCAAGTTAAGCATGCTGCTGCTTTGCTTCAATGTCATCACAGTGAGGAATTCAGCTTTTGAATTTAACAATGGGAAAGAATGAGCCAATATCCACAGATCAGGTTACATAAAACCTGTAAAATGTTTTGATTTGATTGTGCTTATGTGGAGGAAAAAAACTGTTTCAATCAATCCAGCTGTCTAAACAAGCCATGCATCTCTTTTGCAAGCTGCATGAACATGGATGACTGAAAAATCTATCTCCGGTGTGTCTCTGCCTTAAGAGAGCTAACTGTTGATGCTCACACCAGCTGCTGTTGATTTGCTCTCACAGCCTCTAGTTTGTAAAGGCTCTGGTCATGACCACTTAATAAAGGTCCAATGGATTTTTCCAGTTAATGTAATTCCACAACGAAGTTTAAAAACCAATAAGCCAGTTTTTCCACAGAGGCGTGCCGCTTCCTGTCAGGGAGGTTAGCGTGTAATTTGGGCAGGTAAGCAGGTCAATGGAAGGCAAGACTTCATGTGGTAGATATGCTTTCAGTGGAGCAGACAGTGTAGCTCGATCAAAAGTGCAAAAAGTTGACTAAACTTGTGAAGAATGCAAAATGCATATCATGCATTTCTAATTTATACATAAGCTCATGTAGAAATTGAGAAACACCTCTTACATACTGATGTAACCCCAGCTGCAGCTTTTCATTTAATGTGCAGATATTAGAATCATATCAGTATCATCTAAACCTCAGCAAGAAAGCAAATAAGCATATTTTTTCTAAATGAGGAACATTTTAAATGAACATCCTTGAACAATAAATCCTAATTTACCTCAATATTATCCTAATCCAATATTATACCTTATTCTTAACATAAATCACTCTTCCACTATTATTAAAAATGTTCTGGTGGTGAATCGGCTGTGGCCTTTTTAAAGTTTAACTAGCTGACCTTTAACTGCATTGTCCCCTTCAGGCAGGGAGTTATATTTTAATCATCAGGCAGTGCTGCTTAAATGTAGCATCATCCCTAAATGTTTGATCAAAGTTTGGAAGCTTGTTGTTAAGAATAAGCTACATCTGTCAATCCATTTATCCACCTGTCCGTCCATCTCTCCAATTTAGGGTGAGAGGTGAAGTACACCCTCAAAAGCTTGCTACTTTATTGCAGATAAATCAACTCTTCCTCATATGCTGTCGTTTTCCCTGGACTTTCAAAATTCAATTCAATTTAGTTTTATTTATACAGTGCCAAATCACAACATCAGTCGCCTCAAGACAGCAATCATATGACCCCCTATGAGCAAGCAATATGGCAACAGTGGGAAGGAAAAACTCCCTTTTAACAGGAAGAAACCTTCGGCAGAACCAGGCTCAGGGAGGGGCGGCCATCTCGTGCCATTGGTTGGGGTGAGAGAAAGAAGACAGGATAAAAGACAAATGACTTGTCAAAGTATGGCTTCTACAAGATCTTGCAATGCAACTTGTGGTATCAGGAACAAAGATGTTATCAGTACATGAAAGACTGTGATCTGCAAAAAATATGGCATTTGGGAAACTATCTTCCACATGAATGCAACCATTCCCAGCAGAACACTCCCAGAGTGTCACACTGCCTCTGCTGATGTGCCCTCTTACCATAGGTGCTTTCTCTAGTGGACAGGGCTGATCCCTGGGATCTTGGGAACTTTCAATCAGCCTGTAGCATTGGAAGCCCATACAAAGCAGGCTGTGATAGACTGTATGCTGTAACATCTTTCAATCATTGGCAGAATTAGAATTTTCAGAAATTTGTGCCACAGCAGCTGTTTTGTGGTGGACCAGTGGTGGACTGGACCAGCCTTTTAGCTCTCTGGTCCTTTATTAGTACCTAATTTTCTTATAAGGGAAGGGGAGGAGATAGCTCAGTAGGTAGGATTAATAAAGTATACAAAAAAATTATATTTCACATGTGTTGGCAGTTGAATAGGTGAACAAAACTGGCAGGAGGCAGGAAAAAGATAAATTCATGAAAAAAAGAAACAACAAAATACAGAGAACAGGGGAAAACTTGCACTAGTGCTAAGCACTAAAGCACTAAGATTTTCTGACAATAGGAAATAGTGGATGAACTGGGGTGATAGATGATGAAGGTGTGCCAAAAAAAAATGAGCAAAAGAAAGATGTGAAACTGACAGAAGGATAAAGAGACCAAGAAACACAAAAAACAAGAAATCTAAGAAATAATTTCACTTGCTAAAGTCACTTAGATCATTATGCAAACCCATTTCTCTTTCTTCCACCTTTAATAACTGACTGGTCACTTTCTACATAATACATATATATGTATATCCCAACCTGTGACAGGTGCTATTGCTACAAGATCGTTAATATTATTCACTTTACCTCTCAGTGGTTTTTAAATGGTGGTGCGTTTCATATACCTTATATTTGAAATGTTTTTTGTTGAACCATTCTCAGGTTATTCTCGTAGTCTTCTTTAAATACAAGACCACAGAGCAATCAAGCATCCTTTTTCTTAAAAAAACAAAAAGAAAAGACCAATGTCATTTGAGGATTAACACAGGACAGTCTGTAGACACTTGCCCCACTTGTGTCCCATCCATTTTACTGAGTACTAAGACTGTGCCTCTGAAACTTCCTGAAAGTACAATAAACCCCTTCAGGAGCGCTGGAAAAATGATTAAGACTGACTGGGCTGTGGCGTAGTGCAAGGGAGCAGCAGGTTGGGGAAAAGGTGTCATATTTAGTCACATCTTGTCAAGGGGGCGGAAGGAGGGAATTCACAATGATGCCCTGAAATAGCCAACATGCAAATGTATTAAACATAGAAGCAGCTCATAAAATTTTGGGGCAGTTGATTTGCGGATGTCCCCAGACACTGGAAGCATGTTTTTAAAACCACTTCAAGTACTAAATAAAAGGAGACATTTTATATAATACGCTATAAAACATGCGCTCCAATTTTTCTAATACATAAAAGCAAAAATAAAAACATGAAGACTAGACTCTATCAGCTGTGTCACATTACCAGCCTCTTTTCATACAATGCACATGTTTAATGCACCATGTCAGTGAGACATGATATAAGAAAATCAATTCCACCTCAGCTTCTGCAGATAAAAAGTTTTAATATTGCTTCTTCGAGCACAGCTCAGACCTACAGGTTAAACATTATCCAAGACCCGCCTGTCGGGTGTGTAATGAACATTCCTGGGTCTGGTTTTGTAACTTCATTTGTATTAATAAAATCAACAGCAGGCATACTTTAGGTATGTTGATATTTTTATATAAGGATAGTTCAGTAGTATACAATTTACAATGGGGCGATCGTGGCTCAAGAGTTGGGAGGTCGCTTTGTAATTGGAAGGTTGCCCGTTCGAGCCCCAGCTCGGACAGTCTCGGTCGTTGTGTCCTTGGGCAAGACCCTTCACCCGTTGCCTACTGGTGGTGGTCAGAGGGCCCAGTGGCGCCAGTGTCCGGCAGCCTCTGTCAGTGCGCCCCAGGGTGGCTGTGGCTACAATGTAGCTTGCCATTACCTGTGTGTGAATGGGTGGATGACATATTTATCCATATGGGTTAGTAAATTGATTTTATTGGGCCCAGCATGTGTTTGTGAAAATACTCATAAATGTTCAGCGTGCACAAAAGACAAGGAAGCGAATCAGCTAAAACACTGTTGAGAGGATTAAACTTCTACACTTTACCAAGTAAAAGAAAGTCTTTTGCTCCATTTATACATAATTTTGAGCATCCCTGGCAGACAGTGAAAAATGTGAGGATAAAAGTATGCAAATAGACTAATCTGCACATCTGAGTATAATATTTCATGGTGAGAACAGTGTTAACCATTAGCTAACATCTTCCTTTTGCTGCTGGGGACTTTGCTGAATCTTACACCTGTGTAACTGTTTCTACGAACTGAAAGCACACAGTAATACAAATGCACTGACTGTCAGCTGTTACGCTTTAAGTATTTGGAAGAGCAAGGCTTGTGTTACAGCGCCAATGTCCTCCTTCATTTTTATTCTGAAACAGCAGCCACTACAAATACTCTTTGTCTTTAAATGTAGATCTTTGGATATATTTGCCATGGGAATTTTCTTATTTTAGTCCGAGGTCCTCCTTCATGAAGCTCTCAACTAATCTCAGCAGCAACAAGGTTTCTGCTGGGAAACCTAATTCCCCATTTACATAAATACAAACATGAACATTACATTTTTACATTGTCATTAAATCTACAGTACCAACAAAATAGCAGATACTATAAGCAACTAAAGATGGGATGCTACAGGGAGCTACAAAAACAAGGGCTGGCGTTAGTGCATTAGCAGAGCTAAAGTCATTAGTGTCAGCTCTAATATACATGTTGTACATCTGGGTGAATATTAATGACTGAGTCGGCTGATAGCCACACAGCTGTGAATAAGTGTGAAGCATAAAATGATGCCAATCACATTGTGAAAGCGTGAGCTAGCTAACTGTGGCAAATTGTATGATATTCCAACTGCAGTAAATAAGTGATAACAACGGCAAGCTCGCTTTTTATTAGGCTGACTGCGATTTTTTCATGCAGAGATATGCAGCTTTGCTTCAGCAGCTTGAAATGTGATATCTTTGGAAGTATATTTATTTAGTTTTTTGCTGACATGAGGTATAGCAATAGAATCAACAGCCAGGTTAGGTCTCATATACACAGTCTTAGTGAATGGTCAGCGACCCAGTGGCAACCTCTAAGTATGGCAGTACACAGTCACAAGGAAAGCGCTGAAACAAACACTAGTAGTATTTGCCGTTAAAGTAAAAGAAAAGGTTTCAAAAGGTGCGACTTTTACTTTGAAGACAAACTTGGATACACAGTTTCAATACTGCTCGGCGAATAGTATTTGTCTTCCATGCAAATGCAAGGAAACTGTGGCAATCGGGTATTAATTGAAGGGGGTTTTGTGTAGCATGATATACCTCATTGCCACCAGTTTTACCTACTGATTGCAAGTGGCCAGTTCAGGGAACACGCAATTTTCCCTTGGGACCAGTGGTTGCTAGGGGATCGCTGGCCAGTCTCTAAGACACTTTAGTCATTTCTGACAGCTTAGCACAAAAACTGAAAAGACTTGATCATTAGAAAAGGTAAGAAACTCGCCTTCCAGCGCAGCATGTCTAACACGTAATAATTTGTAATGTCTTTACAAGAGCAAGATGTAAAGGAACAAATTCAATTAAGATGAAGCCCAACTGTGCTGAAGGCTGTTTCATATTATTAGTGAGCACATCCTGTGTGTGTTCAAGTCAGCTGTTTGGTGTGCGTTGTAAGATTTATAGTACATAATATTTGCTTGTAAGTAAGCTTATGGTTAATTTCATTAGAGAAATTACACATTTGTAAAACATAACAAAAATAATACCAGGAAAGAGTAACAGCATATGGCTTTAGTCTGAACTTTAACCTGCACAGTCAACAGCATGCAGTCAGCAAATTAGTACGTTTAACCACTGTGACCCTTTGTAATAAACTTTGGCTTCAGAATGACTAACATTAGTATGCCAGTGACCCTTTTAACCACCTAGGTCTACCTATTAATTTGGCAGTACATGTCTGCATCATTGTATAAGGGCACTCAAGGATTGGGATGCATGCTGAGGCAGCATATGAGCTAATTAAATCAAAAGACTATTGTTAAGAAGAACATGCGCGGGCCAGGCACCACTTCACAAATGAAAGTGATTGCAGTTGTTAATTGTAAAACAATTTTTTTTACAAGCCCTGTGGTCATGGAAGATGTAACTGCTGCCACATTATTTTCATTTTATTTATTTATTCATTTATAAATCAGTAAACCTGTTTTTCTCTTCTGCATAGGTGAAATTTGGAGAACCGGCGGATCAAGACTCTCAGGAGCTCTTTGGCTTGCTTTGTCAGTTTGTGCATGACTTCAAAAGGGCACATGCTGAAGCTGTATGAGTTATAGAGTTATTGCACAGAGTACTTACATTAGTGAGGGCAGAGACTGCAGTGTTGCTTACTAAATGAAACTGATCCATCTTTGTTGTGACAATTATAGAAGTTTGAGGTACAGGACTATATGACACAGTGTAACTTAATTAGTTTTTTCAAACTGATGGTTTGATTTAGTTTTGTTTTTTTTAAATATATATATTTCCTGAGTTGTACAGATATTTTATTAGATAATGGACAATGCATTCATTGTAGCAAATCCTATCCCTGGACAGCCTGACAGACTGACTATGTCACGGAAATCAATTTTGTGAATACAAACTGATTTATGTCACATCGTATCATATCATGGTTTGATTTGTGTTTACTGACATTTATTTTGAGACAAATCAGTAATGAAGGATGTAAAAGCACTTGGTTGGAGCCAACACCCAGATGCTGAAGTGTGCTGTGAAAACTCACAGCTCTCTTTGCTGGCAGAAGCACAAACCCCCACCCCCTAAAAACAACTCATCAGAGGCCAGCGGAGGTGGGCATTCTTTGGGTGTGTGATTATTTTGAACATTCGGTTGTTCTTTGGTCGGGGACATTGCCTGTTCTGGTTCTCTGTTAGAAACTCCAAGGCTGGCTGTGATTCACATCTGCTATGTGAAAAAACCCCTAAAAACATGATCAGCAACATACATTTCGCTTTCAAACAGAAGAAAGGTCTTCTTATTGCCAGTTGGAACTGATTGATGTGCCTTTGTGTGTTTGACATTTTAATCAGTTAACAGAAAAAAACACTGTTTATACCCATAACTGTGAACGGTGGTGGCATAATGAAGAAGACCCCTCGCTGAGATGGAAAAGTTGCATATTTTTCCGTTCTAAAAGGAGAAACCAATTATTTTAATTAAAACTGTATCTGTAGAAACGGGTGATTCATTAGCAGGAAACATACAAAACGGCTTTATAAAATATTTAGTTCATGCAGCTTTTGTTTCATACAGAATTGTAACTGGCTTTTGTGTTTTTGTGCTCTTCACTTCATGCTCTTGTATTGCATTTGAAATCGAAAACTGATAAATCTCATAACATTTAGCATATAGAAAAAAATCAATACTAAAAGTTATTTCAGATTATGTGGCCTTCTATTTTATTGCTCTGAATTAGTTTTAGTTCTAAAAACTAAAAGATAAATATATTAACTATATTTTTTTCCACCCTTGTTATAACCTTGTGTTTCTGCAGCTTTCATTCATTTAACAGACATTTAACCTGAGTTTGGGTTGTGGGATTTAAAAGGCTGTGCAAAAAAAATCCTAACTGCAATGTAAATGATTGGACATTTTTTCCCAACTATTATTCCCTTCAGCCATGTGACATCTAAGATACAGTAATGTGCAAAAATCTTGAACCACCTATGTTTTCTTCATATTTTGCTTCCAAGGAAACAGATTTTCTTGGATCTTTTTAAAAGTAGTATTGAGCAATAGCTCTCCAGGCTTTCTGAAGGTCATTCAAAGTTTTACTTTGGACAGTGGCTGCTTTTTTGGTGCATTCCTTGTATCTGACAATTTTCAGAGGAATCCTTTTTTTGTTTGTTTGTTAAGCCACTTAACACCGATCTACGAATCATTCAAGCATAAAAAAGACACCCAAGTCAAAGGATGAATGAGTGTTATGTCTACAAAATAAACAACTTAGCAAAGAACTCATTTAACACACTGTTTCTTCCCATTTCTTTAGTTGAATTATATTTCATGTGGTGTACCTCGTGTTTAAAGAAATGAAGGAATCTGGACAAGGGAAGGACAAAAGTAGTAGTAGTAGTCAGACCTAAAATAACTGCCTATGGAAAATAATGTTTTTAAGAAACATGAAAAATCTGACAATCCATCTACTGTCTAATGAAGCCTCATCAGAAACTGTGTCAGTGGAAGGGTGGCTTTCAAGAAGCCATTTTTAAAGAAGGGAAACAGGGAGAAAAGGCCGAGGGAAGTGACACAATAGCTTAATTTTTCAGCATAACAATGATCTTAAACGTCTGTTAAGGTTCTCAGTCATCCAGATTTAAGTGTCCCCCCCACAGGGCTGTGATTGGGTAGAGGATCATTAGGGGGTCCATTGTCCCTCTTGGGGGGACACTCCCACAGGGCTTAAATCCAATACAATACAGTGAAAACATACATGGACAGAAAAGCCTACACACTATCAGTCATGTATTGACCTCCCCAGAGACCTGTGGGATCATCTTGACAGAAAACAAAACAAAAGCAGCCAACACCCAAATAAGAGCTTTGAATAACTATTCCTGAAGACTAAAAGAATGCTTGTTTAAAGGAGTTCAGGCTATGTTGAAGAATAAATGTCGTCATACCAAATATTGACTTTCAATCAATCTGTTTTTACCTTACACACTATATTTACACAGATGATTGCGCATGTTTTCCTAAATCACGGGCCTATTTCCCATTTTCTTAGCAAAGTATAAAGAAATGGGGTGGCTCAAGACTTTTGCACAGCGCTGTAGAACTAAATTCTGTTTACAATATATATAAATCTTAAATCCTGGTTTAAGCGAGGCACTCTTTACCTATGAACTCCTGTGGAGAAAGTTCATTAACAGGCGCCCGTGTGAAGGTGTTCATTATTCATTTTGTTGTTGCTGCTGCAACAACAAACAATTTGGCAACAGTTTTCTTTCAGAAAACAAAGCTTCACATTTGTTTGAGAGTCTGTAGTTTGTACTGCTTGAATCCCTCAGACCTACTTTCTCTCCTCTGACTGTTTCCACAGGAGGAGGCATTGTTACAGAGGTTTGTCCACTGGATCACGGTGACTTCCTCCGTGTTTGTGCACTGCGGTGACATGGTGTAAATCCATTTAAAATGTTAGCAGAGGCACATGCTGTGAAAATTTGTTTTGTGGTGCCATGTTGGACCGCAGTTCTATTTTGGGAAAGTTGAGTCTGAGTACGCCGCCTGTTTAATTGGCAGCAGAGGGAATAAAACAAATTCGCATTGGACCAAAAGTAAACTTGTTCAGGGTCACATCTCGGCGGCTTCTGTGTACCTGCCTAAAACTTTAAAGCTGCATTAATCAATACTTTATGTTAATACTGGATCAAATGACTTTCTAATGTGAAACGTGTCACTTATATCAGAAACCTTCTGAGAATTATCTCCAGAGGTTTTAAGGGCTTACATTGCGAGGAAAATGAGATGTGTGAGATCAGAGTAACAAGGGAGAGTACAGGTGTGTTTTAGATCAGGGTGGAAGCTATGATTATGTGCAAGCCTTTCTTATCAAGAGATTAAAAACTGTCTGCTGGCATACTAATCTGATAACCCATCCCCTTTTGCCTGACAACTTAGCCCCTGGGGACTGTGGCCAATGTTTGGGCTTCCAGTGCTGCCAGTGGATAGATTAAGACTTCCTGTTCTGAGTCATGGTTTATGAAAGCACAAACATTTATTTATTTATTTATTTTTTTTTAAAAACTCATAGAAAAGGTGGTTCTAAGAAACTGAGAGGCTCTGCGTTGGCATATGGTAGACACTCCAACACGTTCTCACTATCAAAGCATAAAATTTTATGCTAGGTGACAAATCGTCGATTACGCTTCCGGGGACCCAACACGTCCCTATATTACGAGATCAAAAAAATGAGGAAACATGCAAACACTATCTAACGTCATTAAAGTGCTGGTTAAGGTTAGGGATCAGGTTAGGGTTAGGGCTGGAATACACGTGAATTACCATGGGAGCGTCATTCTACTGGATTTCATCCATAACCCGACGCGTAGAATAAGAAAGCGTCGGGTAAACACCTTTTGTGTTGCTCAGAAACGCCGCGGGACTTGACAAATCGTCATTATTTTACGCCTCTGGACACTCTGAGCTGAACACTCACAAAGTATACCCAAAGTTTAGCCTGAATTATTGTCGGTCTTTCAGCAATGAAATCTTGTTGACTTCAATAAGACTTCAAAACAGTGATTGACAACGTGAACCTATTAGAGAAGCCTTACTGTTGTCACAAAGTGAGAAGCAGGGTCATTTTGTCATAGATTTCTATCATGCAATGTCATTTAGTTTGTTTCTTGGGTTATTTACTTGTTTTCTTATTACACTCAAACCCTTTAAGCATTTACTCTGTAAGTCATACACACACACATCCAACATGATGGGGCTTTAACAGCTAAGTGCAATATAGTTTTTTAAAGAATTTCCGCTACCTAAATACACTTGAAAGAAAGGTGAACATTAAAAAAAAACACAGAAACTAGCTCTGTGCGCATGGTAATAACAATAATTTCACTGTGGTGTTAAAAGGTTCTTGTTCTGCACCAAGAGGGACAAAAACTACGATTATAGGGTTGGGTTTTTATAATGAGCAGCAGGCATTGCTGCTAATCAAAGTTATTTTTACACAAAAATTGTTGTGTCCAATGAAAGCACATGAGGCAGGCACTCTTGAGTCACACGGCCTAAACAAATGCCTGCTAATGATCGAGAGATACATGCTGTGCATTTAATCACACTTTGATAAAAAATAAGCGGTTTGAAAGTTGTTGTTTTTTTCTGCATGTTAAAAAAAAAACCCCACACACCTGAAAATCCAGGTTGATAATAGCATCCCACTTCTCCACGAAGGAGCAATCTGAAGACATTTCGCTTTAAGTTTACAAGGTTCAAGACTCACAAGAGCACTGAATAGTGTGTCTGGCTGATATTGATTTGGAGACATATACTCCTAAATTGTTGATACAACCCCAGAAAAATATCCTTAGACAAATGTTAAAAGATTGCTGACAGACCCAGGCGGCCTCTGTTAGTGACTGACAGCTCAGATCCCTGATCGCCTCTGGCCTGCTCTCTATTTTATTACTTTGAAAAGTGGCATATTTATGCTTAATTAGTTTTATATTATATGCAATGACAAATGAACATGAACTTTTCTGAAGAGTAACAAAGTGGTTCCTTGTGTGCGACAGGGCTGTTCACAAGTGTCAATACAGTAGCTTAAATTCAGAGTACATTCACTCCTTTTAACGACTAATTAAGTTCCTTAGAGACATTTTTAAAGACCCACTGGTGGGACTTTTTTTTTAAATTTATTTTTCCATGTCTGATAATGTAACAATTTAAGTCCCCTATAGACAGCATTTGTTAAAAAGGAAACAATTGCTGTAGGGGACAGGTAAAATATTAATGTAATTTAACCCTATAATACCCTTCGTATCATATTTGCTACATGAGTTTCTGAGACCTCTATCTCATCAACAATATATATACTTGCCATAATTTCAAAATGTTATGGACAAAACTCTTCTTTGGCCTAAAATTAACAACGTTGTTAACAAAAAATTGCCAAAAAAACCCCAATGTATCAAATGCGATACAAAAAATGGCGAAACGTTTCTCCCACTGAAAACGCTACATCCAGATGAACAGAATCAACCTTTTGGGATTTACTTACCTGGATGATTGAGCATGCATAAAGACAAGGGTTAATAAACATCTCAGTTACAAAAATTTTCTGGCTATTTTTTGATGGCTGGGTCTTACAGGGTTAAGCATTTGTAGAGACATCTCATCTTTAGGGTGAGTTTAGTTGCACCGTGGTCTGCTGAAACTGATGAAAAGTGTTTTAGATTCGTCAGGTTTTTCTAACACTGAATTACTAAAGTTCATCTCTGCCTGACACTGATTTACAACATGACACGTTTGAGATAATGTTATGTGTGTTCCATTGTGAAGGGCTTTTCACAGCAGGAGCACGGCCGTCACTACTGATGGGAACAGCAAGGTCAGACACAGGTACTCTAATAGCTGCTGGTGATTCCCCCCCTCCAAACACGACTGAGTGAAAGACAAAGGCTGTATACAGTTATTTCCAAAAAATTGATTCTTTTTGCACAACATTTCCACATTCAAATGCTTCTTCAATCAAATTTACAATTATGTCCCAGCGAACAAAGAAGGGGCCTTGAGTCTCTTGACCTTGGAGGTCTTGGTTTTGTTCCACTGGCAGAGACACTTGAAAAGATTTTTCGTGGATATCCAACAAAATATACAATAATTCATTTTCTCGAAAATAATTTAGAAATCATCGTGGCGAGAAAGTGAAAGAAGGATTATGAGAGCAATCATGAGTTCCACTTCTCATAAAAAGAAAAATTCTAATTCAAATAATTCACACTGGAGAGGTGACAAAGACGTTTCGAACACAAATCTCTGAGAGAACATCCACACAGTCACTTGTGTGCACAGCCTGCGCAAAGATAGCTTCAGCTTTAAGCTCGGTGACTGGATGTTTACGTGAAGACTTTACCTTTGGCTTTGTATTTAAAGAAGTAGATATATTCTGTGATGATTTAACCAGGAGACTTTTCATGCCGATCCAAACTATCGAAGTGATCCAACTGTGAGTCATGTGGCATTGCAAGAAAGAAATATATTGAACATTTACTTCTAGATACAGGCCCACTCAAATTCACCCTCTGCTTTGCATCTCAGTGGCAAAGTTACCTGACAGCGTTAACCTATGTGGGAATGGAGAGTGCAAACTAGAGGAAGCTACTGTAACTCGTTAACTGTGTGTCACCGACATTTTTGTTTTATTCACAATGTGTAAAGAGCTTCATAAACAGGGGGCGCTTTGAGGACACTTATGAGACAATAACACATCGGCTTATTTTTAATAAACTGTGTGAACTCGAAATTCCATTAACAAACAAGCCAACAGGTCTGCTTTAGTAAGCAGCCAACAAAATCATTAGCCCAGGGAGGTTTTCTTTTTTGTTTGTTTGCTTTTTTATGTCCTTTGCATAAATTCTTAATGGAATAAAAAGGAGGCGGATATGGATAGGATTTTATTGATGCCAATGCCATTATTCGTTTCAATTCTTTATTAAGAATTGAAAAGGGACAGCATACTAGGCTTTCTGCAGAAACATCACTGCTGTTTCAGAACTATAGTCATTTATAAACACAGTTCCCAATTTTTAGAGGTTCTAGTAAATGCAGTTTTTTTCTTCGCCGCAGCAGATCAGCTGACTCCATCTTACCTCATCCTCCTTTTGTCATACCAACCATCTGTGTGTCCTCCTGCACTACATCTTCTGTGTAATCTGCCTTTATCTAATCATCCTTTATTTAATATATGAACTGCCCATCTCAGCTTTTCCTTTAACTTTGTTTCCAAACTGCTTAACCTGAGCTGACCCTCTGACATACGCATTTCCAATCCTGTTCGTCCATTGGTCATTCCCAATGAAAATCTTATGTTAACCCTTTAAAACTTGAACCATGGAATAACTGCCAGAAATCTTTAATTTTTTCATAATGAAGTGTTTGTTGAACCTTTAGACAAAATGTATAAAAAAAAATATATCAAATTTTAATCTGCATATATAAGTTTTAATTTGTATCACATTTGCTACATTAACCATATTTTTGCAATTTAGCTATTAAAAATCTGTCAAATTTATATCATTTTTTGATGATGCAGAAGTCTCAAAAACACGTATCAAATATGATATGCTTGGCTTTAAAGGGTTAATCCGAATTAATCTTGAATTAAAGATGAGAGTATGCACTTTCATCAAGTCTTTATTTTTTGACAACAAAATAGAGACCTATGACTTTAAATTAAAATTACGTAAAGATTAAATTTAATTTAAAAAAATATGGCACCTAGGCAGCTGATCCATCTCTGACAGTGTTATACATTCAGCATTTGTATTATTATTAATAATAGTTTGGGGAGAAAGTAGCATGAAATGGGATTTTTACAACATTCACATGCACAGATGTACTTTGAATATTTAGTTCACTGAAGCTTGACTATACACAGCACATTCTCTGACTTTATGCTGATCATTTGCATCTGCAGTTGCTTTTTTCATAATCTCTATAAAAAGATATCTGCATACGAATATTTAGAACTGAGCAACAGAGTACAGAAAGTTTTCTGGTTTCTGTTTATACTCTGAGTTGACCAAACATGTTTAAGAAGGCTAATGAAGCTTTATTTTAATAAGTGCTTTTTTCATAATGTATCTACATTTGTTAACAGTGGCTGTTGGTTAAAACACAAATCATTTGCCCAAATATCCTGCTGATAGACCGGAAGCCCTGAAATATTGGACAATGCCTCCAGAGACCAAACGATGTTTTCTTCATAATATGATGCACTGGAGTTGTATTTCACAGCTCTTTATTAAAATTTTCATCATGCTAAAGTAACCCGAAGCTCCTTTTAGTTCATAAATTCACTTCAGGTATTAATGGCTAAAGTTGGAGTCTCGGTCTGTCAACAGAAAATCCGCACAACTTTGCTGCCTAGTGAAAAATTTCAAAGGAAAGTGGTTCTTAGCACATTACACGCCATCCTCTCCCAGCTCTGCAAACTCCATTGCCATGGAAACATATTGACATGCACGACATTTGGCACGCAACCATTTGTCAGAGCTTGGTGATGACACAAATCTCACACAATGGCAGCTACTACTCAGGTTAGGGTAGTGATGTCCTCAGGTTGTCAAATGGACTGATGCCCCAAATGCCTGACAGGTAAAGACAGATTCATCTGCATTCACAAATCTACAGCTTTGAGTCCAGACAGCAAATATTTCAGGCGTTTTCAGATTTAAAAAAAAAAACACGGTGTCACCATGCTCTTTTGTGTTGTAAAACTGTCCAAAACAAAACCAGATCATATTTTTTTTCCATGTGTTCCATTGGCAGAACAAATATTATGAATATCTGCTTTTTTCCATGTGCTTTGCACCTGAAATCTGTTAATGACAAGCTCTCAGCATGTTCTGTTTTTAAGCAGCATTAATATGTTAAACACTTGTCACCATATTGTCTATTAGAGCGGGCTGATTTGTGTCAGGGTTCAGCTCCATTTGGTTGTTGGATGCTTGCTTGATTTTACCATTTAATCATTTTTAACAGTGCAACCTTGTGATCTCTCGTTGTTCAGCCACAAAGATCAAAAAGCGGCTTTCATAAGCGAGGATTTAATGATAAAGCAAATGAAAGCCTAAAACCAAATGTGCTTTTTAGAATTCAGGCTTATTTTAGTTTAATGACACTGTCTACATCTTTCACTATCTAGCAATTGCACTGTGGTATATTGCAAGGCTACTGTCTGTAATGGTCTCAACTGATTCATTTTCTGTATAGTACTTTATCCATGTAGCTAAATTAATCAGTTTGCAAAGCCTGACTTGACTTATGAACCCTCTCCTCAGAAAAATTTGAAACTAACTGAAACTCTAAGCGATTTATTGTTGACTTTTAAGGTGCAGCAAGCTCAATTAAAACTGAAAGAGACAGGCCATGTAACACTTTGTAAGTCAGAGGAAGGACGTTAAAATTGATCTGTTTTTTTATGGAGAGCATATAGTGACACAAGGACAGAGGTGACGTGCTCACATCTCTAATCTCTTGTCAATATTCTCTCAGGACACTTTGGGTGTCTTGTTGATTTAATGCAGCATACAAAGACAGACAAGTACAATTTTACATCAGATGATGCTGAGTGATAAATGTATGAAGCCTAAATCCTGTTATACCAAATCAAAACAGCCATTCAGCTCACAAAAGATGCAGGTAAAATTAGTGAAATTAAAGTAGAGGTCTGTAAGTAGGTGTGGAATGTTTTTGCCTTCCAGATCCAGAAATAAGTTGCATTTTTTTAATATATTTGTTTATTTTTTTTATTTTAAAGCTGCAAGTAGTGAAGACAGTGCTGGATTCAAGAATGATAGCAACAACATAAAAGTCCCATCAATGACTTATGTGAAAGATCATAGTACCATGAGTCAAATTCAGCCCACCTGTGCAATGAGATTATGATGAGTCACCACATTACAGTGAAACCTGCAGCCGGAGTGGACAGGGAGATACCAGGGAAGTGAAACTCCTGCTTGGTGACAGATGCAGCGATGTACTTCCATCATAGAGTAATTTAAAACTGTGAAATCATCAGAAATATGTTTGGGGATAATTATTTAAGGAGTTTGTTTCTGGATCAGAGGAAAGGACCGGAGGAACTATCAATATATGTTCAGTGTCTGTTCAGTTTTCATCATTAATACGGTCATTTGTTGAATGTATACTTTGCTTTGTGGTTATTTAATGAGGAAATAGAGGAATGAAAGCTTTAGGGAATTTACGCAGCGACCGTTAATTATAACTTCTAGCACACGTGCGTGCGTAAAGTGGATGGCTGGGCGCGCACACAAGCAGCATATCACTGCGGAACAGATATTGTCAGACGGGTTATTTGGAGTGGGAGTGAAGGCTATGGACGATTTATCGACTGATCCCCTCACGCACTGGATGGTCTACTTTTTTCTGATCCACGAGCTTTTAATAAAGTCTACCTGAAAATGAGACGCATAGAAAACAATCGGTGATTTTCGTGTTTTTCAGGTTTTTTTGTGGGGGGTTTCTTCAAAAGAAGATTTAGACTTTAAAGGGATTCTGCTTTTTTGTTTGTGTTTCACTTGGATATGGCACATCTTTGGATCCAGTAAGCGAATTTTACAGCGTCAGACGCGTCTGCAGCGGGGGAGAGCAGTGGAGGGACACGGAAACTTGTGTGGTGCAGGAGACGGTCTCTGAATCTGCGCTGCCACAGTTGTCACAGACAGAGAAGAGCCATGGTTACTTCACTCCTACTGATGCTCAGCTGGACTGTGATCTCTGAGGTTGTGAGAGCTCAGAATGACACGGAACCGATCGTCCTGGAGGGCAAATGTCTCGTGGTCTGCGACTCTAATCCGGCAACGGACTGGAAGGCTTCATCCTCTCCGCTCGGCATCTCGGTGCGCGCCGCCAACTCCAAGGTGGCTTTCTCTGCAGTCCGGAGCAACAACCACGAACCGTCGGAAATGAGCAACAAAACAAGAATAATCTACTTCGATCAGGTTAGGACCGTTTTTTGTTTTTTATTTTTTTTTTCATGAACAACACTAATGACAAAAGTGGTTAAATATATATTAATAGCACTTTCAAAATCTTTCCTGTCTTTTCCATAAAATTTCCCTATGAACGAAGGTACTTGGGTCTATTGTTTTAGTACAAATATTTATCTTTAAGCCCAGTTTTGACTTTGACAGAACATGTTTGCAGCTTTAAGTATAGCTGCAGCTCAGTTTAGTTTGAAGCTGGTTTCTGGTGGCATCGGTTGGCATGTGGACACCGTTCAAGTGCACATAATCACACGCAAGCAGGCTTGAAAGTGACTGGATTATGTTTGAGGGCGGGCATCCTGCAGAGCCTGAACACGCACCCATCATTTTGCCTCAAGCTACCCCCGCCACGCACGCGCGCACTCGACTACGCGCGCCATCCACACATTCACCTACATAAATACACCCAAACAAATCAAGCAGCAGCGAAAACAACAAGAACTCTATTAGTCATGCATCGGTGGGCAGTGTAAGGTGTTTGTAACCATATCACACAACTGATCCTCTGCCCTCTCATTTACATGACATTACATAACGTGATCTTTTGGTGTCATACTGCACTACCAGAGATATGATTGGTGTGGATCATGCATGCTGTTGCCATGAAAGCAACCCATGTCAAAGGTCCTGGCTGAGTCTTAACAGGTGGAATTCAAGTGTATGAGATTCTGCAGGAGCCTTTCATGCCTACAGCGATAACCCAGTCAAGTTCACATTCCATATTATTTTAAATATTCTATGTTTATATGACCGTAGGATGAAAATATCTCCTTCATATACCAGTGTGTTCATTTTGAATTGTTTTTAACATACAGAAGTAGCCAATGTTATTTCTACTGTTTGTATCTTAATAGAAATAGTTTCTCAGTCACTTTAAACCTGAACAAAAGAAATTCTCTTGTTTTTGTTGCTGCAAAGTGGAATTAATCTATAAAATCTGTTGTTGGGTTCCGGCTATCATCTAGTTTACGCATCACTTGTGTTTTTGTGGAGTTGGAAATTCACTTGCTAGGTTTAGGTCTCTCGAGAAGGAAGCATGAATTAAATGTTTTTTGAAGTGTGTCACACTCACTTTGTGTCTGATCAGGAAAGCGACCTGGTAGCCACAACAGTGAAGTGTGCTTGGCTGATGTCCTATTTAAATATTTAATCCCAAAGCCCATTTGAAATTAAAACCTTTATTGAAGTGCTGAGTATATAAACACCTTTGTCGCATTCTTTGTTTCCTCCCTCCTTTCACAGGTTCTTGTGAATATAGGAAACTACTTCACATTTGAATCAGTATTTCTGTCCCCGAGGAAAGGAGTCTACAGTTTTAACTTCCACGTGATTAAAGTGTACCAGAGCCAAACCATACAGGTATCACTTTATGTTCATTTTACACATCTGTGCAGTTGACTCAATTGTAAAACCCCATTTCAGTGTCTGGCTAGGACAAAATATCTTTCTCTGGGACAATAAAGAAATTATTTGCGCAGGGAAGAACACCTTACTTCTGGAAAAGGGAAAACAATAAATTGCATTATTATTCCAATTTATTATTCGGACACTACCACTGACTCCAAATCCCATCACACAAAATCTCAATAGAAAAGCACTGGCACAAACTAATACTACGAACAACTACTAATGAAGGCAAGGTGGACCTAAAATTCATTTTAAGATAATTATTTCTATTTACTTATTTATTTAATAGATTTTTGCATGTAATCTGCAATAGAAAACATTCAGCGACATTTGAAAAAAAAAATGCTGTCTCACTATCAAAACCTCATTGATTGGATTAATTGTTTTATTCCATGAATCACCACCACCGCATTTCCACACCCACACACATTAAACAAAAAGCACAAACACTTCATACTGATATGACTTGAAAAAATGTGTTAGGTTAAAGGTTTGAATAAGCCTGCTCGATGCCAAGGTTATATTTTCAGTGACTAACTAACGAGAATTTCATTTGAATTTAAAATGACCATGTTGAAATATAATGGCTTAAAATACAATTACCTCTGCAAATATTTAATTGTACAAATGCCAAAGTTCATCCGCCTTGAAAAGAATATTAAGTAGCTAAAGTGAAAAAAAAATGAACTAGGAAGGTAACACACAGTAGTTGGTGATATGCATCATTGCTGCTCTTGGTTTTCTCAGATACACGTGCTACATTCCCATGTCAGTGCATTTGTTTCACTAGTATCACGAGCCTTTGTATTGCCTCAGTTTGAAGCTTCTTAATAAGTAATTTGCTGTCAAATTCTGATTTTAGGTTAATCTGGATCACACTATCTCACCTAGTGATTCCTCCATTAAAGTATTATGATGAAGATGATTTTAAGGAAGAGATTTTATCCCCATCAGCACACATGATTTTCTTTGGTGCGATAACAATTTTGCTTTTTTGGAGGATTCTGATAGGCAAAATTCATGTGTCTATGAGCACATCTGTAACCAATTTGCTTGATGTTCCTTTGCCCCCAGCGATGCTGCTTAGAACAGAAAACAGGAAACTAGTGCAGCATTTCTTCCCCCTTACAATTTTGGTTGTTTGAGAGTTAGTAACACCCGAGTTTGCATTACTGGCAAGCCAGCGTTCTTGTAAAAGCAAAAGAAAAATTAATGTTGCTAAAAGTTTTGTTTTTCTAATTTGAACATTTTTAATGTTTTACTCCTTTATTTCATTACTTTGAAGAGTAATTGTCTCTTTTTGAGTTTTGGTGGGGTATTTGATACCTTTTACTTTTTCAATAGAGCACTACAGAGAATTTTCCTTATATAAAGTGCTTTGCCAGTTGTCAGTGTATGGATGAGTAGTAACGTAACTTCTCTCAGAGCCTGTAGACTGCTTTTATGTCAGAACAATATGATGTTAATTCTGGCTCTCTGATGCCTCATTTAAGAAGTCTTCCACTCCAATAGAGTGACAACAGTGAGCAACAATAGCAAATGTTACCTTGGAAATGAAGTCTACTAATCATCAACTAGCGCAAAACAGACTCAACTAAATTGTAGCTAGCAGACTGTAGCGTCCTTGCTTATTGAAACTGTTGCTTGAAAACTTCCTCACGAAATAACGAACTAGCGTTTACATTTAAGTAGAAACGCTAGTTGGCTAGCTTCTAAAATGATCTCGTCACTTAACAAATTAGTATTTTAATCAGGTTCACTTATACATTATATCAAAGCTGTGCAATATTACGTTGACACAAAGTACAGATAAGCTATACAGATAAAAGTATTGGACCAGACCTCTTAATAGTGTTTTCACTGCCATTGTCACAAGCGTATACAATCAAACACATAGCCGTGCAGTCTGCCTTTACAAACATTTGCCAAAGAATGAGTCGTTCTACAGAATTCACTGAATTTGAATACTGCGATAGGATGCTGCTGTGGAAAAAGGTAAGTTTGTGAAAAAATTTCCCTCCAAGATATTCCACAATCATCTTTAAGTGGCATTATTAAAAAGTGGAAGCATTTAGGAATCACAACAAACCATTTAAATGACTGAGTTATAATGGTGCCTAAAAGCCACCAACACACTGACTCAGTAACTGCAGAGTTTCAAACCTCGTCTGGCATTAAAATCTGCCGGGCATCCGTTGGGCATCTTTCTTCGCCTTTAGACAATAATTCTGATGGCAAAAGAGCCAAACGGGACAGGCAAAAGGGAAAAAATAAAAAATCTGCGGGGAGCTTTGTGGTATGGGTTTCCAGGGCTGAGCCGCTCCTGTAGGTGTAATGTGTAGGTAGCCCTCTTATCTCACTAATCAGCATATATCTGCCATAATTACCATCTTCATATTTAAAGACGATTGACCACAGACAATCAATGACATTCAGTGGCATTGAGTGATAATTGCAAAGCAGACCAGTCCCAAGCTAAACTCTAGAAGAAAGTCAGCTTTTGAATAAAGTTAACTTTATTTAACTTTGCAACAGTTCCTTGATGGTTGCAGCAACTACCATTAACACAAAAATGATAGTGCTGATTGACACATGACGAGGTGCTAAAAACATTAGAGGATAAAGCGATCCAAAAGGCGAAGTGCTCCTAAAGTCAATTTTGCACTGTTTGTTAGCCACTGTAGCTACCTTATAAAACACATGCAGATATAATATCATGTACATCTCAATGTCGCCTTTAAAAAATACTCACTGCTGCAAAAGGGGTTAAAAAAAAAAAAAGGAGAAAAGACTTTATTTTCCTCCCTCTTCCACTCTGTACACAGTAAGTGCACTTAAGTGTTTGTATAGTGGGTTTAACATTACCGTCTCCATGTAAGAGGTCAAGTGACATAATTACAAATAAGAAATAAACTATGCTGACCCACATCTTAGATTCCGTTTTTCCTGCTGTACTCTTGCTAATTGTTACTTCTGTTGGATCATCCAGGTGAACTTGATGTTGAATGGGAAACCAGTCATCTCTGCCTTTGCGGGTGACAAAGATGTAACTCGCGAGGCAGCCACTAATGGAGTTCTGCTCTATCTTGAAAAAGAGGACAAAGTCTACCTAAAGCTGGAGAAAGGAAACCTAGTTGGTGGATGGCAATACTCAACATTTTCTGGCTTTCTTGTGTTCCCTCTGTAAAAAAGAAAAAAACAAAAGAAAAAAGAAAAAAAGAAAAGAAGATTGTAAGCTCACTGACTTCTTCATAATGTGTTGTCACAGTATAATCAAAACATTGCTGCTGCATCAGTTGGATCTTGCCAAAATGTTGAAAAATGATAGATGGAAATGGATCCCAACATAGAGAGGAAAATAAGACTTTGGAAATGGTTCACGTTCGCTGGAAGTGCTGTGTCCCCGTCCAGATGAAAGAGAGACTTGAAATGTTCCCTATCGCTACTGTATGTTCCTGTCACTCAAGCAGCCTCAGAGAGGAACACTAAAACATCTCAAAAGTACTTTTCAGACTTTCACTTGTCGGAATATGTTTAGCATACTGATGTTTTTTCCCATGACAGCGGTTGCATTCAAAGACATCTGCCTTTTGAGAGTAAACCGTATGCCTGTTACCTGTGTAGCTTGTCATCAACCAAGTATTTGTATTGCTAAGTAATGGGGAATGTCTTTTCTGGACCTAATTGTTCCAGGATACGTGAGGGATAGCAGTAATGTAGGTCACCGATTGCCTAAAACAATGCTATTGGAAATTCCTTAATCAAACAAAGTAATTTAAAATTGATTTAAAAATTGCTGAAGTGGCCACAAGCCACATCACCTCGCAGGCTTAACCTTCAGAATTTTACTAAACGAGGCCCACGAACACAGAAAATTACCACAAAGGGCTTTAAATTACCATGAAGAGAAAAAGATCAAATGATCCACAAAGACATGCAGCTAAACCACAGTAGCACAAAAAGATACAAAATGAGCACAAAACATACAAATAAGCAAAAACAAACTGATTGAAAGGACACGCAAAGAAAATGTGAGGAGTCTGCTTTCAGTCGGATCTCATTCCTGGCACATTGACGCTCAAGTTGTGAGATAAGTACAGGGTGTCCTTTGGTGTAGTGACGCATCAGGTCACAGGGGCTTGTTTAAAAGTGAAACCATGATGTTTTTCTATACCTAACTGAGTTTTGGTAGCTAAACTTAATCGATCAACAAGCGAAAACAGAATAAAACACATTTGTCAGGGAAATATGATTCATGCCAACTGTTTTAATAGGACACTTTCTTTTCCGTGTTCAGTTACGCCGGGCAGTCAGACTTATTTCAGGTAGGAATTTGGCTTTCAACCACAATGAAAGCAAGACAAATCTAATAAAACAATTCTTTTGCATTAATCTTTTTGCTGTGAAGCTCTCCTTTTGTTTGGTGGTATTTTGCTTTTGACCCTCTTTAGAAGCCAAAAGTTTCGTGCTGTTTATTTCAGCACAAGCTTAAATTAAGAAACAAGAGCTTTTAGTCAACAATAGGAAGAAGTAAAAGTCCTTAAAGGTTTCTTTAGGTGAGTCAGCAGAAGGACCATTAATGATTGCTTTCAGCTGCTTTTGTCTCCAAGGCTCTCTCAACCAATCTGCTTTCAGCAGTGTGCAGCCGAGGTGGCGGTTGATTGCTTCAGCTTTCCATCACTCTTCCTGTGATTACCGCGCAGATCTCAGAAGGCGCAGAAATCCTCTGCTGCCTGGGCCTTTTGTTGTGCCCTGTGTGTAACTTCTTATATCTTGTGATGGAAGCTTCTGGCCGGTTGCCTTTACAAGAAAGGCTTTATGGTCAAAAACACTCCCTATTCTGTCCTGTAGGAGATCCTGGTATCCCGAACCAACTCTATGCCTTTATTTTTTGTCTTTTATTTGAATTTTAAATAAAGGACTATTTTTTTTAAGTAAATGCATGATGTTTGTTAAATTGACCATGCTAAATAGTCAAGATAATAGCATAATCAAGAAGTACAGTTGTGCCTCATCCAATGCGTCAAGGCACCACTGCTAACCCAGAGTTAATGGAGAACCAAAGCAGAGCAAAAATCAAGAAAGATGGTAGACTTAAATATGTCAGGTGGCCAGAAGCATGACTTTAAATGAGGACTAGTGCTGCGCTCGATTTGCTTAATTGTTTAATTCACTGGCAACTGTGTGCCAAAACGCTCACGAAATCAACTACGATGACGGCATAGGTCAGTGTTATGTTTACAGTGTGTTCGTTTTTCTGCCCAGAGGACAAAAAAGAAAATAAGAAAAAAATAGAAAAAAAAAGAAATTAGATACTGCAGTAAGGGAAAGATTATGGCTTTGGTCAAATGTGAATAAAGTAAATCGTGCTTCATGTCTCTGTTGCCTTTTTTCTATAGTGAACAAAGACCATAATCTCTCCCTGACCTTAACCAAGTGCTGAGTGCCTCCACACAACCATGGAAAGTGTTAAGAATGAATCAGTGGCGACTGCAGATATTGTACTGTAAGCGCGCATAGTACTCGAAAACAAATATGTTTCTGAACCTGCAGATAATTGGATTTGTGTTAAAATGCACTCGTTCAAAATTCAAAGCGTAAAAAACAAAATTCCTACATGTGCTCTCCTAATAGATCTTACACAAGTCAACTGGTTTATGGACCTTAATAAAGTTTAATGGGCATCTGAGAACCTTAATTAGTTAACATGCTGATAATAAACAGATTCCTGTCACAGTCTGTGAGCATAAGTCGTTTCCACTGGGTGGCCTGGGATAACTGATGAATTAATAAACTCCTTAATTGTTACTCCAGCTCAATGTGCGCTTACAGTATATAATGGTTCCCCTCTTCATCTCTACAGTAGTTACAGCCCTTGCTGCAGTGTGTGCTGCTGGTGCAGTGTGCATCTGCACTGTTAAAAATCAACCCTAGGAGAGCCTATTTCCATCATTATTTCATCCTGAAATGAAAAGCTACACCCTCATCAGCTTAAGCCTCTCTGAAGTGTTCTAGATGTCCACTTTCACTCTTTGAGCGTACGTTTCTGCCTGTTGGTTGTTCACGTATTATTTGTCAGTGATTGATAACTTTCCCTTGGCATCACTGTCACATTTTGTAACCAGAAAGGGAACATTGAAGAGGACAATTTTTCATCTTTCAGTTAAAGCTAAGAATGAAAAAAAAAAAAAAAGTTCAGCTCAACAAGGCTCCTGAAAATTGACAGTTACAGTTGTGTAACTGTCATGCCGACAGTTGCACAAGAAAATAATGCTGAAATTAATACTGCAAATATATTCACCGAGAGAGTTCTCTTTAAAAGTTTTTTAAAAGTACAAGACTGGCAGCATTTATTAAATTCCACTATGTATATTTATTTTGCTGAATTGAAATAATATTTCTGGTGTCTAAATTACATTTGTGTTTGCTCACATTGGTGGAATCATAATGACTGTGGAAGCTGGACTGTGCCCCTGAAATGCTTAAAGCATCAGTTGGTGATAATTTTACTCCTTAATTTTGTATTTGAACATATAAATGTAAATCTATGTGTTCAAAAGTTTTATCCTGATCATCTTTTTTTTTAATCAATGTATTAATTGTATACATTAATGTATAATTAATGTATTGACGAATCTGCCGTTAAATAACAAATAAAAATTGTGGGTTTTTTTTAAAAGACGTAGCATTATTACGTTTTATTTTTCTCAAAAAAACTGGAAAAATCTGAGTTTATGCTGCTGTTGCTTGTGATGGAGTTCTGCTTTAAGAAGTCCAAATCTATGGATGCGATGGAAACACACAGAAGATAAGAACAGTAATAGCACTCACTGTGTATAAAAGATGTGATATTGCCAATTTGTTTGTGAAGTGAGAAGATGAGCGGGTCATGGTTACAATTTTTACTTCTGGAAACCTGACGTAATTGCGCTGACAGAGAAACTAAGGCACTTTGTGTGCTCATAGGCATATGATTTATCATAATGTAAAAAATATAAAACTTCCTGTTGTATTCATATGACTTGAAACTAATGAGCCCATAAACCCATCAGGAAGGTGGACAGTGGCAGTGAGAGCTCTTTGCCATAGACTTCTATACAACCTGGTTGTTCTTTTGCAGTGACAAGAATCACCCCTATCTCACTGTTACAAAGGATGCAGGCTTAAGATACAACTACACTGGTTTCACTTTTCAACCATGAGTTATGTCCATCATTTATAAACAGTATATGTGAAATAAGTATAAAAGAAACCTCATGTCAATTTTGGATAAGCTTTTAACATCTGTCCACAGAGTCACGAAGGAAATTGAGCTTATCCCAGCTGTTGAGCTGTTGCTAGTGAGAGGCAGGGTACACCACGAACAGGTCACCACTCTACAGCCAGTTGAAAATAACCGAAGTTATTCTGAATTTCCTCACAGTCTTTGGCCTGTGAGAGGAAGCCAGAAGTCCAGCAAAGAACCCTAACAGGCGCAGGTAGAACTTGCAAACTCCAGAAAAGCCCCAGACCATGTTCAATCCCAGGACTTTCCTGCTATAAGGTAACACTGCTAACCACCACACCACCATGCTGCTCACACAATAATGAATAAAAAACTGCACACATTCCATTTCTGAAATTTCATAAATTTTCATCTAACATGTGCCAGACTGTACTCATTCTCATATGACCCATTAGATTCTGAATTCCCATTCCCATGAAAATTTTCACCATCTCCATCTTGATATTTTTTTAAGGAGTGGGTTTAACTGTGAAAACTGCATACTTATTGGTTAATGACTTGTCAGTCACACTGGTGGCCATTAAACATGAATGCAGGGTTAAAGAACTTTTTCCCTGGCTACACGTAAAACCACAAAGCTAAATCCATCCTTACTTTTACATAACTAAACTATCTCAGTATATTTAAGTACATTCCATAGATGGTATAATATATAAGTAACGAAAAAGCAGTTGGATGTGGTGTGGTGGTTGGCATCTCACACACTGTGGTTGAAACTAATTTTGTGCCATCTGAAAACTTGAAGGTCATGCTTTTTTTTCCAGGTAAGGCGGGCATGCTAATTTGTGCAGCTTGCATCAGGTCAGATTAGTAAATAGAAATCTCTCTTCATTCTTGTTGCTCTTCCGCAAAAATCTTTTTTCTTCTTATTAAAGGCAGACATTTATTTAGTATCTGCACAGAATTTTCTTGCATGATAAATGCAATTCACGTGTTTTTTTCACGTGTTTTGAAAGTATTTTACTTTGCCGTTTACCACAAATAGAGCAGTACTGCATTTTTTTGTTCATTCATTCTCAGCAGAAATAGGCTGTCATGTGAATGAATTGCTAGGTGATGATGGCATTTTCTTTATCCTCTGAAACAAGAAAAGCAAAATAGTTGATTCATGTGTGGTTGGCTTTTCTATAGGTTGTAATGGCTTTTCCCTCTCAGAGCCAAATCACACAAAATATCATTAAAATATGATTTTATACATTTCAAAGAACTTAAAACGATGTGAGGTAGGCCAGGGTTATTCACTTCAATCAATGATGTGTAAAAGTTGAACTCAGGAAAATGTCCAAAATCAAAGAGGAATAAAGGAATATTCTAACTCAGGCTCTGTGGAAACTATTAGACTATCTCTGTATAGTCTAATAGTTTCCACATAGCTGTTTTTATAAAATGAAATTGTAGTTTTTTCCCTGTTTTATTGGATGGCAAATGCAGTGTGGCATTTAAAACACAAGGAATGGTGTAAACATGCTATGAAACAACCACAGGGGGGTTTAAAATTGTCATTTTTAAGCGATTCTCAAATGACGTGAACAACAGCCTATGAGAGGATGATATTTTGGAAATTAATGACACAGTAGAGACAAAATTTCTTTCAAGTGCAACTTAAAAGGAACAGGCTGACCTGATGAATTAGACCAAAACAAAGAAGATTATATATCACCACTCCGAGATAACACGCATATTCATTAAATAGCTCTAAGTCAGTAATCTGACATGAGTTACATTGTCAGCCAGTGTTGTTTGGTGCAGGAAAAACTGTGCAGCTATATCTCTATGAACAGCAAACCGTTTGAGTTAAAAGAAGATGTGCAAGTCGTGTCATTTGTAATTGTTATGTCGTATGAGTAATGGACAAACACAGGTTTCAGTGGCCTTTTATCTAACGTGCATTTATTTGAAATTCAAGCGGTGGTAAACATGTTGAATCCTGCTCTCTAACGTTTGTGTTATGTGTTGAAACAACAATAATACCTTCTGTTAATGAATCTGATCCCAAAATCATTTGCAGAGATTATTTGCCACTGGAGCTTGATTTGTTTCCGACTGTGTTCAGGCTCTAGATTGACTGTTTACTAGATAATAAATATCCTGCCACAGAGTCAATTTTAGGTAAACTGCATATGTCTCGAATTACATGAATTTCATTAAACAGCAGACAGAAGGCCATCCTGAGAACTTTACACTCCAAATCCACTCCAAATGGTAATTTTATGTTTGTGTAGCTGTGGGACAAAACTGCTGCAGAAAAGAGGATTTAAGGAACACAAGTTGTTGCTTTGCTCAAAGCTATGGTGGCAGGTGTGCTGTGTTGAATTTCAAACCTAATTCTGACCTTTACCGGCATTTCAGAGGACGATATTGAGATGTGATTGAATATACTGTCTCTAAATAGTGTAGCACTTTAAGAAGATTGTTTTCAGCACTTGGGTTTAGATATGCAGAGCACTATTCACTTTGATTGTATCCATTGGGACACATAACCCCTGAACTGAATTATAACTCAGCATTAACCCGAGTAAAACAAAACACGAGCTTCTTCTAAACGTAAAAAAATCATCAGAGGTGTGAGAAAAACCTTTACAAAACAGTATTTTTCATAGTTTTTTTTTCCAGTACGGGTCTCTTTTTATAGCTTCACACAATAACAAAGAACGGTGCACATTTTAAACATTTCTGTATGCTACTCTAAGATTTCCTTCCTTATTGAGCATCAAAGTAAAGCAAAGTGCAGACATTGCAAAAGACCTTTAGTTCCTTCTTCTATACTGCCCAGCAGATTTTTCTTCTTTTACGTTCTACAAGCTTTCAATTGACAGTTTGTTTAATGCTCCTCCTGGACACAGCTTTCACCAGGCATAGAAAACAATGTGTATGGCCTATAACAAGCAGCAGCTTATACTTGTTATGTGAGGAGTTTGGAGAGCATATGGGAAAACTGGCTCTTAATTTCTATTTTTACACCCATCTTAGCAGAAGAAAGCATAATTTTCAAATGGCTCAGTCATGGCCCAATTGCATTATTTTATTGATATACAAGTAGCAGTAAGAAAAGTCTACAAATATAGATTTTAGAATTGTGATAGCTACTCTGTCATGTGCTTTATTCAATTGGGACAGCAGTACATTTCTGAGACTAAGTGATATGTTCCCCGCATAAATGAAACATAGCATCTTGACCACTGAAAGTACTTTACATTGTAAGCTGCATCATCTGATTCACACCCTGATTCCTTCTGAACATTTTAAACACAATCCAACTTAGAGTCCCAGTCATGGAGCCGAAGAGGCGAGGACTCATGAAAAACCTTGGAGGCATAGGGATCTTCACTGGCTCCCCGTCAAATACTGTATCGTTTTTAAAATCCTTTTGTATACTCTCAAAATTCCAAATAACATGGCACCTAGTTACCTAACTGACCTCCTTGACTTGTATAGCCCTAAGAGAGCGCTTAGATCCTCTAACCAACTGCTATTAGTGCAACCTAGGCCTCGACTAAAGACCAGAGGAGACCGTGCTTTTGCTATCGCCACACCCAAACTTTGGGATAATCTTCCACCGGATCTCAGCATGTCAGAATCCATTGAATCGTTTAAATCATGCTCTAAAACCCACCTGTTCAATCTAGCTAATTAGTTCGGACTTCCATCCGGTCTGCATTTGTATTCCATGACTGTAATTGTTACTGTAACTATTACTGTATTTTCTTTTCTTTGTCTATTGTTGTAATCCGCACTACGGCACTTATGCGAAGCACTTTGATGTACTGTGATCTTTTTAAATGTGCTATAGAAAAATTTTTTGATTGATTGATTAATAGGAAGAACGTGCAATGTGTACACAGAAAGGCCTGGAAAAGACTGGACCCAGAACTTTCTTGTTGTAAGGCGACAGAGCCTAGGGCTGTACCACCGTGCCTCCCAAGTATGTTTTTAAAAACAAAGCACATTCAAATTTTATTTTACTTGACATACTCACACTGTGCTAATGGAAACAATTAGTCTGACCTGTAAAATCAAAAACAATATTGTTACTGGTTACATAACAAACTCATTTTTAGCCTATGCTCTCTGATGTCATGACTGAGACACCTCATCAATATTATATAAAGCCATCTAATCAGCAGTTGAAATTTGAAATGTCCACGTCTAGTTTTTTAAGAGACTTACGTGCTGTTAAATAATTGAATTACATGGTAAGGGTCTTAGCAGACAGTCAGTTAGCATATTCTTGATGCCAGACACTCAAATGAAATATAGGTAAGTTCCTTTATTGAAGGTGACTTTTCTGTCCTTGAACCTTCGAGACACCGTATGACAGTACAGCGGTATGACGTTAGGCTTAAAACGTGTTACATACATTTACATCCTTGACTGA